CAGACACATTGACAGACACCTACAAGCATGTGAAAATTTCGCCGCCAAAATACTCTCAGATACTCACCACCCATTACACAATGAATTTTCAAAAGCTGTATCTACGTCAGCCACACGCTCAAGCTCAAGCTTTTATTTACACGTACCGCAATTCTGTTCTGCCATATCTAGCACGTCTACTTATAGACAAGGACAAAATTTCCACAGAATTGCGCAACCGCTTGCTTCATTGCTTTCAGTTTCATTATGTAATGATTTTGTAAATTTGAATCCACAAATATGGTGTAATTGCTGAAAATACACCCATCCGGGTGCATAAAGCTACTACTGACTTGACTTGTGGGTACAGGTGTATCATGCTTGAATCATACTTAAACTTCCATATCTTATTTTTACTACTCACAAGTAGACAATTTGCAGAAGCAGTTTTTACTTTGACGGAATTTATCATGATCGATGAGGCATTTATTTCGCCTTTGTCAGCACTGATACGTAGTGCGTGCTTTTTGTATCTTTTCCGGGAGTTGAACCACGAGTCTTTGTTTTGGATGCCAAAACCGTGAGCTACAAAATCTATGGTTAACATCTTGAGTGCAGGATACATGGATAAAACATTTCCTTGTTTTGTCTGCCTGAGTCTCAATCGTTGGGTGTTTGTCAATTCCACACACGAATGCAAAGAGGATCGACAGACTCCCACGAAGTGACGTCTACGCAAAAATGCGGTACAGTTTTTGGTTCTGGGGATTCACATGATAAGCAAAAGAACCTGATAAAGCAGACACGCAGATTATAGTACAATCAAGATGTAGTGATAACCGAATTATATTTCGTTCTGTGATTATGGCTTCTTCAAAGAAACTTTCCAGTCCTGTGATCTGGTACGAAACAGCTAACCAGTTTCAGATGAGATTGAATTTCATTTATTTAAGTCGTTTCGGATATCCTGGTTCAATTTTTCGCTTTGATCATACAAGCCTAGTTAGAACTTCAAGGTTATTCTAAAAGCCACTTTTCAATAAAGAAAAACTTTTTACTTGAAGAATAAGGCTAAAATGAAGAACACATTAGGATCTGAAAATTTTAATCATTGCATTAAATGAGTGAATCAATCAAGAAATTTGGGCGATCCCAGCTATTGCTTCTAAAATGTGATCGATCCTTTTAAATGAGATAAGAAATGATCTTGGGACAAATCATTTTCTAGTCGCGTACCAGGAAGAGAAACATCCATTTAGGGTTGTTTCAACGATTTCTCAAACAGGAGGGGGGGGGATAAGGGACACTTCTTTAATTCAGAATCAACTCAGTCCCGAATGAACTAACGAACTTTGGTTCTTCTTTTCATTTCAAGTATAAGCATGAACACCGCTGTCTACGCAGCATTGCACGAATCTGGTGGGGTAGCCGGATGAGCAATGCTGAGGTTGGGGCAGAGTTTTGGGTATACGGTCGCCCACTGGAGCAAGTAATCGACCTCCATAGATTACGTTGGCTGGGACATGACTACGCATGTCACCAGGTAGGTTACCACGGCGAGCGATGTTCGCAGAAGCAGATACCGAGTGGAAAAAAGACATGTCACCAGGTAGGTTACCGCGCCCACTGGAGCAAGTGATCGACCTCCATAGATTACGTTGGCTGGGACATGTGCTACGCCAGCAAGTGATCGACCTCCATAGATTACGGTGGTCAAGTTAAGACCTGGCACGAGGGTATGAAAACCCTAACCAGGAA